ATATATATATGGCTCTTTTCGTCTATGCAGACGGTCAATTTAGCTTAGCTTAAGATGGTCTCAAGGTTTTCTTCATGCAGCTTCTTTCATGGCTAATTCTTCCAAGTTCTTTCGTATACTTAACCTATAAATACGGTCTATGATGCTTGAGATGATGTTTGAAGAATGTCCCTTTTCAGTATTTGCCGTAAAAGCCCTGCTGCACCTCCCCCCTTTCCCACCCCTCCCCTCCTTGCCCTCGACAAACCCAGGACCCCCCCCCTCCCCACCAAGCTCCAACTTGCACACATCACTGCGTCTCCTGAAATACTGCACACCCCTTCCTTCCCACATTAATTTATAATAATAGCATAGTCAAAACAGTCCTACTCCACTACAACGCATTTCAGTGCCTCTCTTTACACCAATTAATTTACTGTCTTTCTATTGACTCTGCCTTTCCTAATTTGTTAGAATACAACTGCATTCTACCCAAAGGACTCCCATAATATAGGCTACAAGTTTTAAGGGACACATCTCCCACTTCACAATCTGGCCCGAGAATTGAGTTATGGAGTAGGTCGAAGAGTAAAAGCGCATTCCTGCGTTTCAAAAATCTTAGTTTATTAGACATAAACATTCATTGAAGGCTACCTTTTTTGGTTGGTCATGGGGTTGGGCATTGGGTATTGGGAGGGGTATGAGAGTTGGGTAGGGTATGAGGGGGCGGGTGAGTTAGTTAGGGTCGGGCTAGGGTAGTGTATGAGGGGTTGGAGCAGGTTGTGAAGGGCTTATTTTTTCGGAGTAAGGGATATATCGCCATCTCTTACTTCTCCCAGCCCTTCCACAGACAGAAAAGGGCATCAAGCCTCATAAAACCATGAGCTTTTACGACTGAATATATATTATGTAACACAGGAATTCGCTTCTACTTTTAGTCCAACCAGAGAGCCCCAGACAGTTTTAGGGCCAGGTAGTGAAGAGGTTAAATTAACCCCCCACCCCCCAATTGCCAGGCCTGAGAATTGAGTGATGAGTTCGCTCATTCACGTAGTCCAACTAAAGAGACCAGCTCGAGACAGGCAATGAAGGGGTTAAATTAAAACCTTGCACTACCCACTTACGCAGAATATACATTTAAAGGGAAATAAATTTTACACCATCTGACTCTGACAAATTAAAAATGCATCTTCACAGGCTAGCTGTTAAAGCGCGTACTGATGATATCAAAGTTGCAGAAGTGTATTATATGTTTAAACTGGCACCACAACATCTTGCTAATTTACAACAGGAGTCATCTCGAAACGTACAGTCTATCGACCCCTTCGCATGCGCTTTTTAACGAATAAATGGCTGCACTAGTTACAACACACAGCACAGCACATCACTCACTTCCTTGATAACACAAAATCCAATGCGCTATAATACAGTCGAAATTGTCTATGACAGCCATCCATATTCGAATAGGAAAGTGGTCGTCTTAGACAGATTGTTTCTTACAGAGCGTCATTATAATTAATTTATTTTAAAAGCAGGGGGGGGTTACCTTTTGTTCGGGTGATTGTCTTATATAGCTGGCCGTTAGAGCAAGTTCGACTATAAGCACTTAATAATAAATTGTCTATGGATATTTTCCCCGACACTTACCCGGAGAAGTTTTGCCTTTTCCTTGGCTGTGAGGTTGGGGTCGATGCCAAGTTTTCTCAACATCTCATCACTCATCTTGGACAGATCTATCTTTTTGCCTCGTTTTAGCCTCAACTTTCCACTCTCGTCCATTTCTATCATATCATCGTCAGGGAATTCTTCTTCATCTGCAAAGATCAAAAAAATAAATTATTTCGTTAACAAAGTATGATTGCAAACGTTTCTATCTTTCCCTGGAGGAATGATGCTGCCCCTAAACAGAACAAAAGTAAGCTATCACAAGCGATTAATTTCTAATTTCGGTAATATTCAACACTCTCTTTCTAAAGTATTCATTCAATTCCGAGCGAGCTAGGAGAAAATGTATATGCCTTCATTTACTATGTTACCCAAAAGGTTTGCAATTCCCTGTAGGTGCCAAAGCGGTACTATTGCATACAAGCCCCTGTCTAGCACAGATCTAGACATCTTTTCCCGATACATACTACGTTTATAATGTGGTCTGCCCGGTTCTCTTTGGAGCGGACCTGTGAACCAAAAGTTACGTCCTCCAAAAGGAAGGAAACTTTAATACGAGTAACAAATGACAACCCTGCAAAGCGGAATTTACATATTTGTGTTTAGTAGAGTGAATTAAGATTGACCAAACACATGAGCAGCGAATTACAGACACATGCATATCCAGGCATCAGTTACCAGCAGCTGCATGTATGAGGAAGGGTGCCCATAGTCTTCATCGCGTCCCTAGGTTACTTCGTGGGGAGCAGATTTTACATCCCCATCGAAACAATTAAGATCGTTTAGGATATGAGCCTCGACCTTGTCTGTCAGGAGCAGCCAAAAGTGACATACCAGCAGACGGACAAAAATACTCGATAAAAATTTTACCC